ACCTACCTAACTTCAAGCTCTACTACAAAGCAGTAATAATCAAAACAGCATGGTACTGGAACAAAAGCAGAGCTGCAGACCAATGGAATAGAGTTGAATATACTGACATCTCCTCCCAAACATATAATCATCTAATCTTCGATAAGGGGGCAAGAAAAGTGAAATGGAGCAGGGAAAGCCTCTTTAATAAATTGTGCTGGCAAAACTGGACGGCTACATGCAAAAAAGTGGGCTCAGATCTCTGCCTAACGCCATGCACAAAAGTAAGATCGAAATGGATTTATGACCTCAACATCAGACCGGAATCCATAATGTTTCTTCTCTTTTTTGGGGGTTCAGCAGGACACATAGGGAAACACTTGCCTTGCAAATAGCTCTTTTACAGTATTTATTATGCATTCCTGCACTCCATTTACTGGGTTTATTGTGAATGCCTTTTTCCTGTAACCAACATTGCTAATAGAGTTTTGAGTGTTAGGAAATAACTTTTCCTTCTTTTGGATATTGAAACTCAACCTCACTTTTTAAATAATGGATTGAAAACCACATTCTTAGCAAAAAAAAACAAACTCAAATGTAATTAATGTTAACTGTTAGTATGCTAAAATTCATAATTAATTTTTGGTTAGCACACTGCTTTTATAATAATAGTAGCTGAAATTATTTCTTTAGTGTTTTGAATATATCAGATGTAACACTTTTGGTGAATTATATTTGAGGTTTCTTCCCTTTCATATATGTTTCTGAAATGATGTCAATGTCAGTCAATTGTGCTTTTTCATAGTAAATATTTTAATGGTCAACTGCTAAAACAAGTCTAATAAGTTTTTAAATCTATTCGTGTCGGTCTTAGGATGGTCTCGGTGGCATCATTTTTTGGCATTTGTTATTTTATATTTTCAGGGGTATAGGCTCCTCAAATAAGCCTTCATTTTTTTATGACTCCAGATAACCTTTGGGAAAGATCTTGCTAGATTTGAAATTCCCTGCTTTTTTTTTATCATTTTTTTATGGTCATAAAACTGTTGCATGACTATTGTATATTCCTTTGTACCCTCCGATTTTTGAAAACGGTAGGAAATGTTAGCCAAAACCTCTCATACAGTTTCTGAGTCAATAAAAAGGGACATGCATCAAGGATATGATTTATTCTGGGTAACTGAAAACAAAAGCTCATTTTTGTAACTTTGAATGTTGAAATCCCAAAATGAGTTCAAGGACTCCTATGCGAAGGACAGAAGATGTACAGGAAGGAACTTTCCAGGAACTGATCATCATGTTCATATATCCATGTGGAATTCTAGCATTTAGCATCAACTATGATTTTCTTTCAGTTTCCCATTGTCTCTCAATCGCAAAAAGAACTTTGTGGTAAATAAGTACGGTATTTACGTAACTTAAGATTGTTCAATTTGATCCAGATAAGGCAGTATCGTTTGACCTATCCTAAAGTCACTCTGAACATTTGAAAAATGAAAACCATAGATTCAGAATGTCTCAACCGTCATTGACTTAGGCCTGTGAGCTTGTGTGCTTTCTTTACTAATGCTTTTTTGGTAGTGTTTACATCTTAAGTTACACTATTTAGGAAAAGTAGATTTAAATTTAACAGTGTTACTAAATTTTTCATATTTAAGAATAATCCTTTCATATTTAAGAATATTCTGACCAAGGATCGTCTGTATTAGAAAGAAGTCTGTTTGATATATTATCTGTTTCAGTGTGACTTGATTGGAACAGAGGAACGCTTAATGAAAAAACTATGCATGGCTTGCTTGCTTTGTATTGTCTGTATTCTGTAAGAAGCTCCTGACCTCTTCCTTCATTGATTATTTGAAAGGAGACTATAGATCCATTCAGAGTAAAGTTTTTCTTTTAGTGAACTTGATAGAATTTTGTGAATCTATTGCCTGCAAGCCGATGTTGACTGAAACAGTGTCATGTTTGAAATGCTTTGAGGGCAGGAACAGATAACAAACTTTTCCTATCCATTTTTTTCACTTTTCTCTCACTGTTCTTTCAACTAATACTTAACTGAGAGTATTATGCTGGTAACACAATGGTAATAACCTATTTTCTATTCATTGGAGATTTCATATTATGGTGCCTTTGGTCTTGATAGGAAAATTATATAAATAGCATTCTGCTGAAACAATTTTATTATTGATGGTTGTATTTATGTATCATAGAGATTTTAAGTTAAATTTAAATATTTACATATATTATGTCTTATGTAATAGAATGCAGTACAATGATAATACTCAATAGTGTGGCAAAATTGAATACTTTTTTATATTTTATTTTTATGAAGTTGTTCACAATAATTTATTACATTTAATAGTCCAACACCAATTCACCACAATTACCTCTTCCCAGCACCATGAATAGTGTTTTTATAAGAAAAAATAAAATAATTTAAATTTAAATCTAATTGTTTTCTCCTCCTTTATTAATATCATCTTCCACTTTAATAATGCCTACACTGAGAATCACAAGTCTTTTCCTATTTTACCTTAAGGATGAATTTATGGAGTTAATAGTAAGAAAACAAAAAAGAACTGACATAAATCTTAGAGGAGATATTATACTGAGAGTATAGATACTGTATTAAGGTTCTCTACTGGAAAAAATATTTAAAGTTTTTTTAAGTAGTTGAAAATATATTTATGGGGCTGGAGAGATAGTCCAACGGGTAGGGTGCTTGCCTTGCATGCAGCTGATCTGGGTTCAATCCCAGCATCCCATATGGTCCCAGGAGTAACTGCTGAGTCCAGAGCCAAGAGTAGACCCTGAGCACATCCAGGTGTGGCTTCCAAAACCAAAAGCAAATATTTACATTAATGTACTTAAGCATATTTTAACTTGGATTTTTTCATTATGAAAGGAATTTTTAAAATTTTTACTATTATTTTGTGGGGTTATTTTGGTTTTGTTTGGGGGCAACATCCTATGAGGTGTCAGGGATCAAACCCAAATCTGACCCCAGGAATCCTTTTTCTTATTGTCTTTCCTATCCTCCCTAAGTATAAATTCTAAGGGGACCTTTACCCAGTAACTGCTAAGCTGTCTCTATTAGCAGGGACCTTCCCAGAGTGCAAAGGGTTGACCTTGTTCACTTGCCATGTCCCAGCACTGAATGTGGTCGAGGCAGGATTCAGTGATTATTTGTTGCTAGCTGCATGTGTGTATGGTACCCTCTTAAGTTTTCTTTGGATCTTTTATTTAACTGGAGCGGTTTTGTGGGAAAGGTAGGGTAGATACTTTGTCAGGTAACTGGAATGACATTTCAGGTGGATTCTGACAGACCTAGCATAGAAAGGGGTCAGAGTCAGTAGTTCACTAGAGTTTTATATTAGCCATCCACCTGCGATAAAGACTCACTGTTTACACCAGTCCAGTGCTAAAAATGTTAATTAAATTCTCTTATTTAACCCTTCTAGTGACTCCATTATACAGACCTATTCTTATCCCCATATTAGAAGTGAAGAAACTGAAGTACAGCAAAGCTAACTTAGTAGTTGACATCAGTTGTGCAGAACCACACAAAGAGTGTCAGAGAAGAGATGAGGCTTCCTCCATGTGAGTGCATGGTCTGGGCTCTCAATAGGGCGTGAGCGTTGATCTACAGCTTCTAGGCTGTTCCTCGGAAAAGTTATCAGCATGCAGTTATGAGCCCAAATCTACCATGATGATTGCCTAATGATTTAATGAGATGATTCACTATCATTAGATGCTTATTGAATGTTTCAGTATTTGTACACTAGAGATTATTCTTCTTACAAGGTATTGGTAAAAAGACAGTATAAGAGGAATAATTAAAAGCAACTAAAGGATAAGGTACCTGACAGATTGCCTTGATGACCAGAAAAGCAGATGGGCATTTTTCTGTTAAAGAATAAGTCACCTCCCAGGAGATAGAGAATGAATCTTTTTTGAAAAAAATTAATCACTGCAGCCGCATATTTGTCAAGTCAGGACATATCTACATCTTTGCAAAGTGGGATATAGTCAGAGCAGAGCCCGACCAGGGCTAACCAAACAGGATGATCACGGCCGCGGAAAACCTCATTGGAATTCCATGGTGCAGCTTTTTAATGAGTGTTCTGACCTGCCTCACCAGGGCTCAGGTTGAGAAATCCTTTCTTAGCTTGGATGTTATTCTACTCCTGTGCCCCTCACCTACACTGAGAACATACTAAGCCCTTACTCTAAGAGGGGAGAAATCTAGAGATAAATCCACTGCTGCTAAAGCTACCATCATGGAGATTGATGATCATTTTTGTGGTGTGAATACACTAGGATGAACATGAAATTATCCTTCTGTAGTCACAACAGTGCCTGTTCAAGTAGTGTAGAGTAATTGACATTGCTTACGTATGTGAAGGCCCCAAGCTATATTCCATGGTGAGAAATGGCTAGAGAGTTCACTGAATTCAGCTCTCCACTTTGGTAGATAATATGCTGGCGGGGGGGGGGGGGGGGTGAGGGCGGTCTTATGCAATTTATAGCTCTTACAAGTTGTCGTTGCCAGGACCAGAATGTTAGCACAGGGGTAAGGCACTTGTCTTACACATTGGCCAACCGTGATTCAATCCCCAGCACCACATATGGTCCCATGAGCACTGTCAGGAGTAATCCCTAAACACAGAACTGGGAATAATCTCTAAACAGTGCTCACTTATGGGTATGGCCCAACCCCGACCCCCACCCCCAAAAAGGTCAAAGGAAATCATCCTTGCCATATCAGTCATGTTATAAAAATTGAATTATAAATCACATATACTCATCCCAAGATTTGTAAGGAAATGTATCAAATACTTTAAAAATATTTAAGGTACATTAATTCAAATATGTGCCTGATATATATATATATTTATATATATGGTATGCTTATTTACAATAACTTCCACTCCACTGTCATGTTGATAATCCTGAAGGTTATTATTGTTCTCACTTGCATCCAAGATTGTCTTTCCTTACTCAGATTTTCCTTCCCACAGAGCAAATTGGCCAGGAGATGTTGGAAAATCTCAGTCATGACAGAGAAAAGATACAGCGGGCACGTGAAAGAGTAAGTAGCAGTGATTTTATTTTGTGTTGTTCTTAAGAAATTTAGGAAATAAGACCTAAAAGAAAGATCTTTAGCACGTGTATGGACAGTAAAATTAAAGGATGGATGGATGGATGGATGGATGGATGGATGGATGGATGGATGGATGGATGGAAAGCTGGGGAAAGGGGCAAGATGTGAGAGGGGCAAAGGGTAAGCTGACTGTGTCCCCATCTCAAAATGCCCCCCAAAAGTTATTTATTGGGTGCTCCATCTGAGAAGGCCATTACAGTAGATGATAGAGTTTGCCAAGTTTTCAGTGAAAGCTGTAAAATAGCGCTATTAGAGCTAAGGAGATAGCTCCGAAGACCCACAAGCAGGTCCCACATGAGAACCCTGCATTCAGTCTTGGGTCATGTGCTTCCACCTCAGCACTACTAGCTGTAGACCTGGTGGCCCTGAGGATGGCGGTGCCCCCCAGCACTGCTGGATGTGGGCAACTCTGCATTGCTGGGTCCACGCACTCAAAACCATCAAGCCTTACGCAGCCAGCCCCGACGGTTCCCTGAGCACTACTTGGGACCTCGCCCCCAATTTTTTTCTTTCTTTCTTTCTTTCTTTCTTTCTTTCTCTCTCTCTCTCTCTCTCTCTCTCTCTTTCTTTCTTCTTGTATTTTAGAGGGGAGAGGGTTTGGATCCCTTCCAGGGGTGTACAGGGACAGTTCTGGCTCGGTGATCAGCACTTCCACAGTGCTGGGGATCCAGCCGGTCTCAACTGCATGCAGTGCAAGCATCTTATCCCCTGCACTGTCACTCCAGCTCCATCACCGTCCTTTCTTAAATTCACGTCACTTCAATTTGTATTTCTAGAACTTTGCCCATTCACAAACAGGGAATTAATGACCAAACATACACATTTGTCAGCCTGTGAGACTTTTTTTTTAATAGATCGAGTTCAAGTGTCCAGGTATGCTGGGATTATATATTCCATTAATTTTCTGTATCTAAGGATTTTCAGCATTTGTATAGCTGTGAAAATTTTACTGGAGCATATTAAAAAAAATTTTCCCCACTCCCTGACTCTTAAATGTATTTTGTTGATGAATTGGACAGTCTATCATGACAAAAGTAGTGTTTATTGGTACTCCTGGGGAGAAAAGAAAAAAAAACAGATTGTGTAAAGTTTCGCTGTGTCTGTGACTAAAGCTGCTTTTCTTCTCCTTCCTAGCTGCGGGAAACAGATGCTAACCTGGGGAAGAGCTCCCGCGTCCTGACAGGGATGTTGCGAAGGTAAGAGCAAGGTAGGGACCTGCCTTCCTCTCTTTCTCCCTTTTAATGAAACTGTGTTTTGTAACGGGTGATGTGAGCCTGGCCTGTGAGCCTCGACCCTCTGTTCCTGGTGTAGCGTCCCAGGTCGAAATAATTTAACACTGACATTAACTCTTGTTTGGACAGAGACACATACCAAGAAGCTTAGATTAGAGAGAAGGTGTGGGCTAGGGGGGTTACCTCAAGCTATGGAAAGAAATAGGGTTAGACATGCAGCCTTTTCTCATAGCCTGAGGAAGCCCCATGGCAGGAACAGGACATGATTGTCGGTTTTGATAGCCTTCCACTGCAAGGACGCAGGCCTGCTGGGGATGCTTCACTCTCCCTGGCTTTGTTTTTGTTTGTTTTACAAGAGAGGCTGTTTGGAGCAACATTTCCATTTGTGAATAACTAGAGATGAATTTTGAAATTGAAAGAGGATCTGATTATCAGAGATCCTCTAATGCAAGGATCCCACCTGCACACGTGCCAGCAAGCAGACGTTGGTGTTTTCTGTGTATAATGTACCTTTGTTGCTGGAACAGATTTGGCAGAATATTGGGCAAAATGCATGAATGGGTATGGATAATCGTCTACATTCTCTAAGTTTGGGGAAGGGAGTAAGAAATGTTTCCAATGTTCTCAAAAGTGGAGCATTTGTTTACTTTGGCCTATCAGGCATGGAATTATTTTATACTCACAATCCACCAAATCAAAGTATTCATTTTGGAGTTGTGGGTTAAAGCGCGAATGAGGAATGTTGAGGTGGCTTCTAGAATAGCATCATTGGGATTATGTTTGTTTGTTGTTTGTTTGGGGGCAACAACTGGTAGAGCTCAGGGCTTCCTTCCGTCTCTGTGCTCAGGGATCACTTCTGGTGGGACTCTTGGGGACGTATTAGGTGCCAGGGATTGAAACTGGGTCCAGCAGCTGCAAGGTAAATGTCCTACCTGCTGTACACTCTCTCGGGCCATAATTGGGATTTTCAAGGAGATCTATTGTTGATACTGTTAAGACAGCTATTTTTATTTTTCATTTATTTATTTGCTTTTGGGGTCAGACCCAGCGATGCACAGGGGTTACTCCTAACACATGCACTCAGAAATTATTCCTGGAGATGCTCAGGGGACCATATGGGATGCTGGGAATCGAACCTGGGTCAGCCGTGTGCAAGGCAAATGCCCTACCGGCTGTGCTATCACTCCAGCCCCAAAACAGCTATTTTTAAATAAGCAAAGCCTTTCTGATCATGCATTCGTATATAGAGTAATTTGCTAAACATGTGCTTGCCGTGTTAGAAACAGATTCCATAAGAACTGATGAAGTAGCTGTCTGCGTGCTGCATCTTATTTCTCTCTTAGGTAGATCTGTCACAGGTCCACTGTTTCTGCGCCCTTCCAGCCAACATGAACCTAAGTCCACAGTGTCCCCACACACAGTATGGCTTCCAGTTCATAACCATAAGCTTCCAAATTCCAACCATAAGCCTCCAAATTCCTTGATTAAGAGTAACATGTAAATTTCCTTGGAAAACTCAAAATCCACAGAAAAGTGGCAGTTGAAAGTAATGCTTCAGTGCCTATAGACAATAAAAAAAAAAAGCGCGGGGTGGGGGGGCCCTGTATGGCTTCCCTGGGAGGCTCCTGCAATGTGAGCTGTAACAAATATTCTGCATGTGTCTCCATTTTGTCAAATCTCATTAAAGAGTCCTCCCGCTTTATGTCAATTGAGCTGTCCAGAAATCATTCATCATTTTTAGTGTAAAAAAATCATGTGGTTATTTTAAATAATATCATATTAATGTTAAAGTTCAGCTGTCATTGAATGGTATGGCTTAATCAGATGTAGCATTTAGGAAAAATAGTTTATTCTGCCTCTACGTGGCTTTCAGGTTGGCAGATTTAAATCAGGATTTATGGGTTCCTAAACCAATGTATTTCTGTCCATGTTTCTGCTTGATGTACCTCACCCTTTCGTGCAGGACACTGCAGATAGTTATTCAACAAATAAAGCAGCTCCTCATATTGCGTTTGAATAAATTTGCAAGTCATTTACAGAGGGTAAAACACAAACAACTTCTGCAACCTTTGACTGGGCTTTCTGTAGGAAAATCAGAACTAAACGTGGCTGTTTCATAAGCTCACAGAAGAAAATTACTCAGAAATCGACTTGGGGTTCTCTTTGTAGGCAAACTCAGGCAGTCACTGACTCATCTCCTTTTCGAATCTCTTCAGAGTATGAACAGAAATAAAAATGCCCAATGGACATTACCTTGCTATGTGTGATTCAGGAAACACTAAGCCCACCTATCCATGGTGATGCGTGTTTGGTTCAATGTTTTGACTGAGCACTGTGGGAAACTTCCTATCAGAAGGTATCTGGGTACTTCTAACCAATGCTGTAACTTGAGTCTTTGGAAACCAAATACAGATGATGGCTTCGTTTGAGTTTCCAACTACCATCCACAAGATATGCAATTTATTATGGAATTTTTTTTAAAAAAAAAGCAAAACTTTGACCAACTTCCTTACTCCTTTATTTGTATAATTCCCTGGAAAAATAATCCCCAAGAAGATAGAATCTGGGTTTATGAATGTCTTTTTTTTATGCTCTAGTTTTGCTTTCTTTCTTACCTCCCTCTCCCTTTCACCTGGTGTTCACTTCCAGCACTGATAAGGTTTTATTTGAAAAAGAAAACTCACATTCTCCAACCTCTAATCTTACCCAGGGTTCATAGCTCTGGTGTGTGCCAGCAGGTACTTCTTACATAAGAAAATGGACAGTCTTGAACCGTGTGCTCGTCTGTCACCTTTCCAAATGGATCAGAGCGATGTGTGTCCACCTGGTGCAATGTGTAAATGAGCATGATGCATAAGCTTCTTTATTTTCATGTGGTAAATTCCGTATGTCAGAGAACAGTTATGTATGCAACAATCGAGCTTGCCAAGGAATTACCCTATTGAAATGAAAGAGCATTTACTTTTTTTTAACCAGATCATTTTCAAATTTGTAAAATGAGCAAAAATGACCTTCCTTGGCCCTGTGTCTGGACTATAGCATAGAGGGATTCAGTCTGTGGCAAGGGCAGATAAAACCAAAGTTCAGTCAGTGCCAGGGACATTGTGCAGAGGACAATAATTGATCATTTATAGGACAAACCCAAAGCAAAAAGGGAAATAAAACTAAGTGGTAGACACTACCACTCATGTTTTTTCAGTCGTTAATAGACTTCAGTGGGTGGGAAAAAATTCTCTTTCCTTCCATCCTTCCTTCCTTCTTCTCCTTTTATTTCTCCTCTCCTCTCTTTTTACTTCCTCAATAAATACCCAATGCTTGGATACAAGACCTTGGATATTCTCAAATGAAACCGATATGACACTTGGTTTCAGAGTGCTTCAGTTTAGATATGTGAGATGCTATGGGAATTCATCGGAACGGTAAGGCAGAAGAAGAAAGACAAAAACAGGATGGTCTAGTGAGACCTGTGGTATATGAGTAACAGGACAAGGAAATACAAAGGAGCAAAGAGGGAATATCTAGACTGTTCTGGTGCTTGAATTATAGCCTGAGAAGGACATAGGAAAGAAGAGGAGGCCAGAGCCTGGGACACAGTAACAGTGTAAAGAGCAGGATTTCTACATATCTGAATCACAGAAACAACAGGACAGAAAACATGAGATCTACACCACAACAAACACATTTCAAACTGTCCCAGTCAGGGAGAGGGCTGGGGAGAGGAAGGGAACTGGGTACACTGTTGGCGGGAAGTTGATGGACACTGGGGATGGGATTGGTATTGGAACATCATATACCTAAAAACTCAACTATAAGTAGCTTTGTGGGCTGGAACGATAGCACAATGGTAGAGCGTTTGCCTTGCATGCAGCCAACATGGCCAACCCGAGTTCGATTCCTCCACCCCTCTCGGAGAGCCCGGCAAGCTACCGAGAGTATCTCGCCCACACAGCAGAGCCTGGCAAGCTACCCGTGATGTATTCGCTATGCCAAACACAGTAACAACAAAGTCCCCAATGGAGACATTACTGGGCCCCCTCGAGCAAATCGATGAACAATGGGAGGACAGTAACAGTGACAGTCACCATTGAAAATGAAATATTGAAGTAGCTTTGTGAATCACAGTAACTTCATTTCTTTGAAAGGTATTTTTTAATCTTTCTGATATGGTAAGTAATTTTTTTGGTTTGGTAGCCATACCTGGTGATGCTCAGGGATTACTCATGACTGCACACAGTAGTAACTCCTCGCCATGCTCAAAGGACCATATGGGATGCCGGTGATCAAACCCAGGTCAGCTGCATGTAAGGCAAGCACCCTACCCACTGTACTATTTCTCTGCCCCCTAAATAATTTTTTTCTTAAGCGTGGAGCTGTTGCAGCATTTTCTTACCTAGTCTATAAGATAAAGCAGATGGTATTAAATGCATTTGACCTAGCAAGTTCTGTTCATACATTACTATTTAATATGTATATTTTGGTTAGAGCTTCTGTGTCAATCTGAGAAATGATTGCCACCCATCATTGTTCTCACACTTTACATTTTAAACATAGTCTTGTTGCTTTGGTAGAGTGACAGGTAAAACATTGTACTGTCAAATAATTCCTAAGGGGAACTGTACCAGAAATACCAGTGCAAGATCTATAAGCTAATGCAATATTATTTTTGAATATGAAGTTTATTCTTGAAGAAATGTGTCATGACTAGATTTTTTTTTAATCTCTTAAAATTCAGACATTCCCCACCCTCATTTTCCCCAGCAAACATTTAGCTGTATTCAGTGTTTGACAATCCTCCAGTAGGGAGTTTTCAAGACTTGTGAGAAGACTGTCCTTGAGTCTCGACTCTCAATTTTTATGCCGCGAAAAGTATAAAGTCTCTTGCCTTTCTATTTACAGTTTTGCTTTTCTCTGTTTTGTTTTTTCTCTTCTACTAATCTCATTCCTCTTTCTTGGTCTATTTTAAC